TCTTGTAACAAGGCTGATAATGCCATCAAGCTTGTTACAAGTTGTTAACAGCTTGTTCCAAACTTGTTACAACAAACTGGGAACAAGCAGTGCGAACACAACTTGTTGACAGCTTGTGAACAGACTTGTGACAACTTATAATAGGTTTTGTTTGTGGAAACACCACGTAAATTTATTACTGCAAAGCTTTCGATACTGCAAAGATCTCAATTTTTTTCAGATCTGTATAGAACTTACTTCTCATTATTGTCTTGTACGAACTTGGAAAATTTTGAAAAAATAATTTAGCTAGAGTTATTTTGCAACAACATTCAGCAGTTTTAGTAGGGAAAGTCATGGGAATTACACTCAGAAAACATTCTTAGTGTTTCGAAACACTCTTCTAAACTAATTCATATAAGAATTTTAATATCAAATGTAATGTTCTTTTTATGATATAGTGTTTGTAAATATATATTCAGTATAAATGATCAAATTAGTACAAAGCTGTTGGTTGATTTTGCTGTAATGCTTATGACAGCGTTATCTTCGCAGTCCTAGAGACCTTATCTCATAAATCCATGGCATTCCACACAATGAGCTGACACATGTTATGCTCCACGCCCTCGGTCGAACGCGCGTAAGAAGGGCTCCGGGTACGAGAATGGCTCCACGCCTTTATAGCATGAAACCCATCCCCAGGCTCCGCGCGCGTTGTTCCTTAGTTGTCAACCTTGGTTATTGCATAACTTTTTTTAACACCTACAGTAACATAAGCAAAAGGTGTGAGGTCTACAATTGACCAAATATTTGCAATTACTTGGATTCAGTTTAACCTGACAAACTAAAATTATATTTGTATCCAAAAATCTGTTTCGGAAAACGCACGAAATGCAGTCCTCGGGGTGGAAGAAAATTTCCAGTGGTGTAACTGGCGGGTGTCAAGTGACGGGGGCCCCCACGCCAGGGATGAACATAAAAATGTTTCCTAGTACATTTCCGAGGAATTGAATAATGAAAATCAGAAAAGCAGTTATTAAAATACATGAATTAGTAGTTAGAATATATGTAATTGCAAAATATTCCCACAATAGGCCTACCTCTAGCTGATTTGCCTATAGTTTTGCGATAAATAATGCTGCGAGTGCAACAAAAACATGCAAAGCTTTTAAACTTTTCTCGGTGATAAAATGAAGTATAATGCATCGGTCATTAATTATGGATCTAGTTTGCTGTTCACGATTTAGTTAAAAAGTTAAGCGTACAGTTATACTTTACGCAAAATGCGAATGCTATGTTGAACAGGTACTGTAATAATGTACTATAGTTTATTCCTAAACTGAAGATATGCAAGTGAAACACAGACTGCACCAGTTGGTGCCTGTCGCATGGCGATTGTGTTGACAGAAATACAGCCTGTTGTTTAGTTGGGAGGGGGGGGGGGGGGGGGGGGGGGTAGCCCCGGTCGCGGCCGATTGACGGCGAGCTACCTGAAGTTGTGTTCTGCCACTGCCTCCTTACCATTAGATACGACACCACACCAAACTTTTTGTCATCAACAACCATCTGCCATCTCTCCGCACTCAATGTAGTATGGTCCTTTTCTGTAGATGCTCTCCCCCCGACTAACGAATTCTTAAAAAGGCCCTGGTTTTTGTTGCATGCCAAAATGGCTTACCACATCTACGCACGCAAAAAGCTCACATCTTGTAGCAAGTCTGCCAACAAG